GGACCCGCGTAGACGCCGCGCTTGGAGGCTTCCAGCGCCTTGAGCGCATTGTACGTCTTGCCCGAGTTGGTCGGGCCGACGTGGACGTGAATCTTGCGCTGCATCGAGCGCGTGGCCGGGAACCACTCATGTGGGAAGCGCAGATTGAGAATGTTGGCCTGACTCTCCTCGATGCCTTTAGAGAAGCGCTTATGGGTGACAAAGGACTGAAAGGCATACTGAATCTCCTTCTGCAAGCCCTTGACGTCCCTTTGGATAAAGGCGTCGCGCAGGTTCCAGAAGAGCGGGTTCTTATCGCGACGAGTAATGTTGGTCTCAGCGAGCGCAAAGGCCTCGTCAATGGCGTCCATGAACTCGGAGCCCTGCCGGCGCAGCTCATCCTCGCTGATGCCACCTTGCCCGAATTGGGCCGAGTCGAGCTGTTGCTGCAGCACATACTGCAAGCGATGGAGTACGGTAGATCGAAACACGGCATGTTTACCTTTATATTTTTTGTCATTATCTAAAATGAGCCGCGAGCGTGGATCATGGCCTTGGCCAATCTATTCATCAGGTTCATGTGAGTCGAGTGGCTTCCGCTTGAGGTTAAAGAGGCTGGATAGAGAGCGCATACCGACTCAGCTCTTGACTGAGGCTTCCAATTTTCATGCAACCTCTGTCGCAGCTTCTTTCCGGGCGGCCTTTCGCCGACGGCACGATGCGGCCTTGACTTCTGTCGTTCTCTTTGCAGTGGCACGCTGGTCGACAGTAGTCTCTTGCAGAGCATGGCCGTGGTCTCGACGCCGCGAGCCCGTCTGCAGACAACAGATATCATAGCCAAGGCGTCCTAGTATATTTGCGTCATCTCCTTGAAATCTGAGCAGTCGGTCTCGATTTGTGAGTTGAGAAACTGGCTGGTTCGTGTCATTTGCCCCTTTGCGTTGATGATATCAAAAAAATTTGGGCCTGGGAATTTACATGCAAACTTGGCTAGATGTGAGCGAGTCGCCCTTTTGCGGCCGAGGCGCCACAGTGACCCGCTCTTTCTGTGGCTGGTTCCAGGCAAGCAATTAACGCCACTGGCTTAACTAAGGCTGCTACTAACTAAGGTTAGTACCTACAAAACAAATTATAGCGGAAATGCCACTGTCAGCTTGCTCATCCAGACGTGCAGGTACATACTGGGCGCTACAGAGCTCTCCGCCACTTTGCGCACGTGTTTTTTCGTCGCTACCACAGTGTCTGCGTAACACCATGGGCTCCTCATACCACTTTATTGAGCATTCCTTGTCACTGCTGCTGGCTTTCTGGTAATCGCGCGAGATTATCGCATATATCCAATACAACCTTCCGTCGCAGGAAACCCGCATATGCAAAGGACCAATACGTTTGTCAGCTATGGCTTCCTCGTCGACGCCGGCGACGCCGCTGCTCTAGTATGGATGGACCCCAACCTTCTACGAGGCTTCAGTCCAAGCCTCACGCAGGGCAGACGACAGCTCGCAATGCTAACACCATCCTCTCTATCCGCGCAGTTCCTGCATCGCACACAAAACGACCATTCTGTCAGAATGCACAACCTCGGCCTCGTCGCAAACCTCGTCGCTCGCGTCCCTGATTCTACCCAAGATTGAGCACACCAAGCCGCAAAAGCTCACCTACACCCACGGCAGCCACCAAATCCACTACATTGCAGAGGCTCCCTCCGAGCACCCCGATCACCCAGCTGCCGGTGGCCTGACGTTTCTCGTCATTGCCGACGCCTCGCTTGGCCGACGCGTGCCCTTTGGCTACCTCGTCGAGGTACGCCGGCGCTTTTTCGCCGCATTTCCCGAGACGAGCGACTTCTCCGACATGCCCAACTACGGCGCCGGCTCCTTCAACGGCACGCTCAAGACACTCATGGTCGACTACGGCGCCACGAGCGGCGGCCAGAGCGATGCCATTGGCAACGCGCGCCGTGAGATTGAAGACGTGCGCGGCATCATGACCAAGAATATCGAGAGCCTGTTGGAGCGCGGCGAGCGCCTGGATCTGCTCGTGGACAAGACGGACCGGCTCGGGGGTAGCGCGCGCGACTTTCGCGTGCGCAGTCGGGGTCTCAAGCGCCAAATGTGGTGGAAGAATGTTAAGCTTATGGCCCTGCTCGCTCTGGTCATCCTCATCATTATACTGGTCATTGTCATCTCTGTCAAGAATTGACGAGACGTCTTGTCGACACACACCATGAAAACTACTAGCAATAAGCAGCCCATCATTTATACATAGCATCACGCACCACGCCAGCAGCAGAGTTTCATGTCAGTCAAAGCTCTTGGAATTGGCGTTTTTTCTGTCATGACTAGCTCTCACTCTCTTTTCTTCTCCTTGGTTTGAGAATATTTTCTACCTGATTTCGTTCATCATGTCCACTCCAAATGCGCAAGTATCTGTCGTGCCTAACAATGCAATGCTGCAGTACAGCACATGTTTGCAGTTAACCCTTCAACCGCTGAACTGATAACCTTGTACGAGTTCCAGGAAGACGATGTACTGTCAATATCGGACCCACGCTGTCTCGTAAACTCGCCGCCCCGTTGCTCATAACTTGGGCAAGTTCCAAGCATTACCAGCCGGTCTTGTCCCGTCTTGATAGATGTATCCGTGGGTCACTGGATTGTTCATTTGCTGCGGCGTTGCAGAAACAGATGACCGGCGCAACCTGTCCGTGAAGAATGCGGGATGTGTGGTGGAGGCGCTGTAGGGAAAGCATCGGTTCCATGCCTGCTGCATTTGTGCTGTAACGACGGGATTACTTGGCGGCGCGGACTCGACTGGCACCATGGTTGCAGCGACTATGTATGCGACGTGGGAGAAAAGGTCGTGTGCGCAAATAAAAAGAAGTCCTGTGCCAGTATATTCGAGATTTTGATCGGTAGCAAGAGGCTGAGATGTCGAGTGATGATCAGTTGTAAGTGTGTGACATGAATGCTGGACCACCGACCGAGGTCAGTCAGCATCGCCGCCCGCTTTTTTACATCTGCGCCCGATGAACAGCGATACCTTAGTCAGCTATTGATACTTCATCATATAGGATTTGGTGTCTTATTATTGGTACGTTTTCTAATCATAGAGCTAAATCCTATTTGCGGCCTTGAACAGACTCTATCTCTATATCTTGATCTGTTTTTGTGATCGCTCTTCACTGCATGCTAAATACTTGCCGAAGTCGCCTATGACTTTTAGTGTGTGAGGTGCGATGACAGCTTACACAAACCTGCTAGAACGAAGAGATTCCTGCATCTAAAATCAATCTAAACTTATATTTACAGACTAAACACCTATTCAATAGATACATTTTCCTTTCGACATTGTGCTACTTTAGTCTTGACATCTGCGCCTGCTTGGCTAAAGTAGCGACACTCGACACTAGCTCTCGTTAGCGGAGTACACCCACTGTATCATGACGATAGACCTCGGGATTGATTGAACTGAGCTGTGAGTTGTGATTGATTGCGCAATTGTTCAGCAAATTGGTGTGGCTCAATTTCGCTTATATAACAGCTCGCCGCTCAAGGCGCTCATTCATCACTCTAACTAGCTAAGACCTATACACATAATAATAATAAAGAGCGCTTCCTCATGACCGCAATTGAACAAGGTAGTGATTGTCGGCCTTCCGTCTTCTGGCGTTTCTGTTGCCAGCGCAGTAGCGCCTCTGTGTGCTCAAGCCCTTTCAACTTCCCAGATATCGTCTGTGGGGGTGCCTCCGGGAGCCAAATGCTTTGAACAAGGTAGAGTCATTCTCCCACCTGATCATTGAGGTTAACGCGGAGAGGCGGTCTATTTTATTCGCCAACGGACTTCAAGAAACCGCCGTGGACTGCATATATATTCTGCACCGGCTACGACTATGAACATTCGTTTTATCCAGCGTACGGGAGTTCGGGCCAGGCCGCAGCGACGGTAACGCGCTGACCTATCAGTATTTCATGTCGACCACGCAACTTTGGCCGTTGTCATGCCACCCCTGCGCGTCGTCGCGTTTCAACTCGCCGAAATCCCAGGCTGCTGTCATTGCAAGAGTCTGGTTCCACCCTAACTACGAGGAGATGGCCAGTTGTGTAAAACAAAAAAAGCCGTGGAGAAAACAAGGGCTTTCACAAGCCCCGCTGGTGCAGAGTACATGAACGAAATGTAAAGGTAGTGCATGAGTGCTGAAGGAGAGACTGAGAGCCACCGTCGGCCTCCTTTCTGGAGGCCTCGCGAGAAGTGGCTGCGCCGGACTCTCCACGACATCAGCAGAGCAACTGGAGCTCGCGGAGAAGACAAATTCAAGGTCAAGAGCGTCATGGACGCGGAATTTGAATTTCTTTCGGGCGAGACCACCCATTATTAAGGGTTCAACTCATCCAAGGTTCAAATTTGTGAACGGTGGGCCTCAATATGTTCCGCATAATTACTGGATCACCTGCGTCATTGGCGGAGAGTCACATAGAAAATTGTGATTATCTGAACTATCTAATAAACGGTTACTGCTCTGTTCGCAGTCGAAGCTAGTGCGATGAGGACGCGATATGTTTTTTTCTAGGATGAAAAATATCTCACGGATGACGGTAGCACTTTTCCCACAAGGATAGGGATAATGTCAAAATAAACGAGAGAAAATAAATGCAGCAGCAGTTTGAAAATACGAGTGAGGGTGCCTGCAGGTAACCACCCAGAAGTAGTTAATGCTGACTGGCCTGCGCAAGTGATGCAAGCAGTTTTCTAGTTGGTCTAGAGGTGCTCTAGTTAGTGGCAAAACGTCTATACGTGGCAAACACGAATCGGCATCATCAGATCAATAGTTTAATGACGTGGAATAGTAATTTAAAAAAAATAAGGCCTACGATATAGCTATTCAAGCGTGTTCTATTTCTCAATTCAGTGAAGGGTAGAATGCAAAACACGATCCCTGCTGATAGATTGAAGTTACGTGTGGATCTCGTAGCCAGTATAAGCTTAAATTACTCCGCTCGTGTCAAGCAAGTTACTAGCGAACCCGGTTAGCTCAATTGGTTAGAGCGTTGGACTTTTACGGTATCACCTGATATCCAAAGGCTACGAGTTCGACCCTCGTACTGGGTGGTTGGTTTAACATGCGGTACTCTCTATAAGAGTACCGCGTTCCCTTTTTTTGCTCATTTTTTCTCCTTCTCTCCTTTTTTTTTTTTTTTATCTTGACGAAAAAGAGCAGGTTTAACATTTGCCTGATTCTACTACAATCGCAGCATACAAGTTACCAGCCGTCGCTTGCGGTCTCCGCCTGAAAACGCCTGAGTTGACTATGTATAATCAGGCAATATTTATCCCCCGCCTTAAAGATTCAACTATAGATCCGCACCATGGTTTGAGATTTCTCAGCCTAGAGTATCGACTCGGGCTGCACTTTGCAACAAGTAATCATCCTGCAGATAAGCGAGGTAATTGATACCTCGCCGGAGCACCACAAAATGTGGTTATTAGTCGCCAAAGCTGGCGGCTACCTATCGCCAGGCACCCTTGCGTTCTATTGCTTAAGACTTGCAACTCTACAATAGACAAGGTGGCGGGCGAAAGGGCAAGCATGTCAGCTACAGGGGAGAATGGGAAGAGAAACTGGCCGAAGCGATACGGGAGAATTGAGCGAGGTACATAAATCTGTTGGGCGCGGGGAAGTATTGTCCAGCAATCTGGTGAGCGACCAAAACTTCCAGCAGCAGGCTCGGGAGGGGCCACTTACATGCGAATGACAGCAATATTCATCCGCATGACAGTGCTTCTAATTTAACTACAGCGTCTCTACATCCACAGCACATGTATGACACGTCAAACATGCCAAATCTGCAGGGCTACTGTAGCTTGGGCTCGAGTTGGCCTTCTTGTAGCACGGAGTGCCTGCAGCCGCACTTGCTACATATCTAGCTGTGGGCAAAGGCGAGGCCATGATCTCAGTGGCGCCCCCCAGGGTCAACCCCTCACCATATTGCTCGATCAGTATATAGGGACCACGCTCACCGATCCTGATACCCATCTTCGACTTATTTCTCACAACCACTCGAAACGACAACAGAATAGAAACCTCTCAAGATGGCAACTTTCGAGCAGACTGCTCCACCACGAGCCGTGCCGCAAGTTACTATACCATTGTCGACTAGCACTGTGACGGTGCGTGCAATCGACGCCGAGGCTAGGATGGTCGGCAACGCCAAATTATTCGTCCAGCCAGGAATCCCTGGCCATGAGGAAATCAACTTTACGACCATGTGTTTCTTGATCGAACACCGGACAGATGCCGGCACGGAATCCATTCTGTTTGATTGTGGCATTCGAAAGGATTTCTGGAATATCGTGCCCTGGGCACTGAAACATATCGGGACACTCATTGCCGGCATGGATGTAGGGCATGGCGTGGACGAGATTCTGACGGAGCGGGGTTTCAAACTGTCCAATCTAAGTAAGTCTTCATTGTGAAAACGACTGAGCATTGTGTACTGTTGATTCCTGAAATTTATGAATGAATACTTATGTCTGACAGAGGCCATGGTTTGGAGTCACTGGCACTGGGACCACATCGGCGACGGAGCCAAATACCCGTCCTCGACGGATATCGTGGTCGGGCCCGGATTCACAGAGAACTTTGTACCTGGGTGGCCGAAAGACCCAAATGGACGAGTTCCATCCAGCTCACTCGAGTATGCAGAATTTCAGACAGCGACTGTCATGTGCTAACAGGGAGGATAGAGGTCACCGCATTCATGAGGTCGACTTTCCACTCGAGGTGGGAGGGTTCCGGGCTCATGACTACTTTGGCGACGGTTCTTTCTACCTATTAGATGTGCCTGGTGTAAGCCAAAACTCGTCTTTCCAACATTATCACGTCCTCTAATCTTGGAAAGCACACGGTTGGGCACATTTGCGGATTTGCCCGCACGACCCCCGATACGTTCGTATTCATGGGCGCCGACTGCTCACATTACGCCGCCGACCGACCGAATACGTTCCGATGCCAGATACGATCCCTCCTGGCACGCTAGACCCCTACTTCCCTCCAGTCTGTCCGTGTTCCACCTTCACAGCGCTTCACCCGAAAGCTGGCACATCTGACCACGCCAAGCCATTGTCCGAGGCGCGGTCCCAGCCATTCTACGACGTGACACGCGACCCACAGGGAATTTACGAGCTCGCAGATGTTGCCCAGGACAGCGTGGACAAGGTCAAGGCTCTGGACGCCCAGGACAATGTCCTGATTTGTCTGGCTCACGATGGCGCCCTCGTAGACATTTTGCCTCTATACAACAAAGATGCCAGCGCAGACATCAATGATTGGAAGGATCGCGGCTACAAGGAAAAGACGCGATGGGGCTTTCTGAATGAGCTTCCCAGAGACGGAGAACGGGGCCGGCCACCTCTGGTCCGGGGACTGTGGTGTGGCGAGAAAAAAGTCGTCAGGAACGAGGAAGGCTTACTAGAGTTGAGCTCAGAGTCTAGGCACGAGAACTAACAGACTCCTAGTAGAGAAATCTTTTTTTCGCATGATCGAGCCCCGTTGACCGTAATTTCTGGAATTGTTCATCTCTTCTGTTCCTCGTCTTCGGTGTCTCTTTGGTGCCTGGAGGATCTTCGCCGTGAGGACAACCCTATCACCATGACTACTTGAGCCTTTTCCCGCTCGCTTGGAGATTAGCTACCTTTTCTCCAGACTTCTGCACTTTTGAGCACCATGTGGTTGTCAACTAGAACTCTTCCAAGTGCAAGACTACAAAATAAATTGACCGCCATTAAACGGAACCCTTGATCCCGCACAAAGGTGAACAGGTCCCTAGTGACAGAGGCCGGGTAAGACGGATCTCCCAGGAGTAGTAGGGTGACGATTGAGGCCGTATCCCCCTCAACGATGCATTTATCTCGACAAAAGAACCCCTATGTCTCTCAAAAGCTCAGTCTTCTCCTTGTTCACTCCTGACAGCGTCGCAGCGGAACATCGGGGTAGAGGAGCTCACCGTCGCACATTTGCCTATTCGGCGGCTGGTTGCCCCTGCAAATCTCGTCCATCCGCGGCAAACCCTCGCTCAAGACTTGCCCGAGTACGTGCATGTCGACAAAGGTCCTGGACTTTGACGGATGGACGTAGGTGGGCTTGGTCTCGTACTGCGACGCGCTGTTGTTGACGGGTTCAATAACGTTGTAGATAATGCCGCGCGCTTCGCTCGTCTGCACCCAGAGGGAGTGGTGGTTGCGAGGTTCGCCGTAGTCCTAAACGAGGAAGACAGGGAAAACACTCATGATAGAAGGTGAAACTCTGATGCAAGCTGCAAGAGGGTATCTTGATGCTGTGCAAGTTGCGACAGACAAGATTTGGCAGTTGTTTGTTCTCTGGGCTAGACCACTTCTACGCACCAACTCGTTCGAGACCTACCTCTCCAAGTTTGTGCGACAGCATTGAGTTTTACTTTTAATATGTTTTCTTTTGTTTTGTATTTTTTTTTCCCCTTATACTTATCATTCCTTTCCTTCCGCAGCTGATATGAGGTAAGACGGGGCTTTTCTGGCTCAACTTGATTGACACAAGGGTGTTGGGTCTGTTCTTTGACGTACCGCAGGGATAGGCACATGTGCGCGGCGTCTCCAACGAGCGTACAGTGTGTAGGTGAAATCTAACTTGAGATAAGGCGAAGGGCTCAGAACCTTGCTGGTGAGCTTGGGATGGGCTTGCAGACTGACGAAGAAAGAAAGGTCCTTGATCTTGATGATCTTGACACACTCGCCCTTGTCATTTCGAGATGTCAGGCTTAAAATTGAAGAGGTGGTAGCGTTACAGCGCAGCGTTACAACGAAGCGTTGGTCAAGGGCGTCATGCCTCTGCGGCCAACCAACAGACACATTCAACAACTGGTATACTAAACCCCCAACCCAATCATGAGTACACAAAACTCTGTTCACGTCCCGGTTTTCATTCTCAGTACTTGCTCCGAAACTATCCTTCTGTATTTATCCAGTGCAGGTTTCCAGTAGGTAGGTCGGCCGTCGCGTGGCCCTTGCACTCGCAACGACAGCAATTCACATGCTCAAACAATAACTAGCAATACGCCCAATGAAATAAAAACCAATAAATCAAATGACATTCTCATTCTTCTTTTCTTAGCACGAGCTATGATATTGTGCTCCCCCAGTTCGTGGCCGGCCTAGACTCAGGCTCACCTGCGGCATCCACTAAGATGCGCGGCCAAGCCAGGGTCGCTGGTGCGCTGGTTCAATTAAATATCTCCCATTTCCTCTTTTGGAAATCGTTGTCCATTTTCTATCTTTGTTCAAATTATCTCCGCTAGTGTACCCACAGCCGTCACTGGTTTGTTGCTGTGCACGAATGCAACATCGAGCTCAACTGGAATGCCGTCGCCATCTTGGCCTAGCAACCACCCATGAAGGGACTCTTGATAAATAAGTGAGCATCGTCAAGTGTTATGCGGTTCCAAAAAAATTCTCCGTCATCGTCTCATAATCTGAATCGATTCAGGTTCGATTTGTTGATCCTCTCTTTTCTACATTCTATTTTTTCCTTCTTTTATCTTGGTGCCGCTTCCATCTCTAGACTTCACTTACGACGCTCTAACCACCCGCCGTATAGCTGATTTCAGGAGTCCATTGGCCAACACAATTCTTGCTTATTACTCGAACCTAAAATATCATGGTACTGCCTGAGAAACTCATCAGGGTCGGTCTTGGCCTTGGCAGCTTCCTGCCATCGACGGCCCCCGACGTCGGCGCAGCCTCACACGAGGTCTTGAAGCTGCGTGACCTCGGCGGTCTCGTTGGCTCTTCGGCGACTGACCTTGTACGCTTCAGCAGTACTCTCAAAGTGGCCCGCGCCATAGTAGAAGAGTACAAGCGCGCCGAAGTTATTGAGGTTCCCACCAGCAGCCTGGTGTCCATTCTCGACCGCATTAAGGCCCTTGAAAAAGAGGTCGAGGGCCTGCTCAGTGGCAAAAAGGTGAACAAGGACAGCAAGGGCATTGAGCCTCCGGAGTCTGGGCCTGCTACCGGCGACTCTATCTCTTCCTCCCCTGCATCTTCCGCTGCTGCTTCCTCGCCTGACGGCGGCAGCTCGG